TTGTAATCGTTTTGCTGGTGGAGGGTCTCTGATCTTGATGCTGATGGCTGCTGATGGATCAGGGTGGGGGTGTCGAAAGCTGGGGTGGCCGTGGCAATTTCTCAAAATAAGACAACAGTGAAGTTCGCCACAGTAGTTGACTCTTCCTTTCATGACTTCTCTGCAGCACGTGATGTGGTTTGATAGCATTTTACCCACAGAACTTCTTTCAAAACTGGAGTCATTCCTCTCACACCCTCCTGCTGCTTTATCAACTAAGCTTCTGTAATATGCTAAACTGTTTGTTGTCATTTCAACAGTCTTCCCAGCATCCTCACCAGTAAGTTCCATCTTAAGAAACCACTTTCTTTGCTCACGCATAAAAAGCAGCTCCTCACCTGTTCAAGTTTGATCATGAGCTTGCAGCAGTCCAATCCCATCTTCAGGCTCCTTTCTAATTCCAGGTCTTTTGCTGTTTCCACCACATCTGCAGTCACTTCCTCTACTCAAGTCTGGAACCTTCAGCTTGTAAAAAATGCGGTATCTGCAAAGCACAACATGAGGTGTGCCTGGACAGTATTTGTCTTTCTTGGACTTATTTCACATAGCATGATGCCCTCCAGGTCCATCTGTGTTATTGTAAAAGGCAGAACTTCCTTGTGTTCTTTTATGGTTGAATACTATTCCATATTGTGTGTGCGTGTTCCACCTTTTCTTTATCCATTCATCCATCGCCAGGCCCTCAGGCTGCATCCATGTTGGCTCCTGTGCCTTCTGCCACAGTGAACATGGAGGCTGCAGATATCTGAGATGGTGACTTCATTTCCTTGGGCTATCTGCCTAGAACTGGGATGCTGGGTCATACGATAGTTGTATTTTCAATTTTTGGAGGTGCTTCATACTGTTCCGCAATAGTTGCACCAATTTACATTCATACCAACAGTGCACGAGGGTTCCCCTTTCTCCACATCCTCGCCAACACTTGTTATTTCTTGGCTCTCTGAGGATGGCCATTCTGACAGGTGTGAGGTGGTGTCTCATCGGAGTTTTGAAGAGTTACATTTTCCCGACAATGAGTGACGTTGAGCACCTTTTCATATACCTGGTGGCCATTTGTATGTCTTCTTTGGAAAAATGTCTATTCAAGTCCTTTGCCCATTTTTAAATCAAGTTGGTTTTTTGGGCTTTTTTTTTTTTTTTTTTGCTGTTGAGTTGTATGAGTTCTTTATATATTTTGGATATTGATTCCTTATCATATAGATGGTTTCCAAATTATTTTCTTCCATTCAGTAGGCTGCCTTTTCATTTTGTTGATAGTTTCCTTTGCTGAGCAGAACTCTTTTTAGTTTGACGTAGTTCCACTTGTTGATTTTTGCTTTTGTTGCTTACGCTTGGTGGCATATCCAAATAAATATTGCCAAGGCCAGTATCAAGCAGCTTTCTTCCTATGTTTTCTTCTAGTGCTTTCAGGTCTCAAATTTAAAGCTTTAATCCATTTCAAGTTAATTATTGAGTGGTGTGAGATAGTTCAATTTCATTCTTCTGCATGTGGTTATACAGTTTCCCATTTATTGAAAAGACTATCCTTTTCCCAATGAGTATTCTTGGCTCCCTTGTCAAATATTAGTTGACTGTTTTAAGTGTGGGCTTATTTCTGGGCTCTCTGTACCATTGGTTTATGTGTCTATTTTTATGCCAGTACTATACTGTCTTGATTACCATAGCTTTGTCATAAAGCTCGACATCAGGAACTCCAGCTTTGTTCTCTTTCAAGATTACTTTGGCTGAATATTCAGGGTCTTTTGTGGTTCCACATAAATTTTAGGGTTGTTTTTTTCTATTTCTGTGAAAAATGTCATTGGAATATTGCTAAGGATTTTATTGAATCTGTAGATGGAAAAATAATGTTTTTATGATGCGACTAAAACCCATACTGTGCTACCAAGCAGCACTAGAGACTGTGGCATTTAATCTTTAGTAAATATACTCATGATCGATGCTGGCTCTAGCGTCTGGCGAGATTAGACATTTTTGGCCAAGTTCTACGTGGCCTGTCTCTAGTTTTAGTTGCCACTTCCTCAGGAATTATAGTTGGTTATTTCTAACCTCATTGGGTTTAAAGAAGAGTAATGTTGTTTACCAAAGTTCCACTGCAGTGAATTTGATAACATCAGATGTTTCCTACCTACCCACAGTGTGGCATAAAATGATGAGACAACATTCAACTTTCTTTGTGGCCGCAGGGGAAAAACTGGACTCGGCGCCAGAGAGAAGTGTCTCCCTTTCCTACCCGCCAGTTTGCTTGGCTTATAGGAATGTATCATCAGACAGCTTTGGAGGTTTCTTCACTCTTGTTTCTGTTGCTACTTCCACTGTAGTTTGGAAAGCCAACTCCTGCCTGTGTAGGACAACTGTGAAGTCCAGAAGCTTCAAGCTCCCAAAGGATCAAGGAGAGGCTAAGTAGCTGTTACCTTTACTTGAAAAGAAGTGGACTAAACAGGGATGTCCCCCCTTCCCGGCCTGCTTCTGATCCCTGATACATGTGACATTATGGTAAGGCAGATACCACCTACTGGCTATGTTTTGGGGAAAGTTGCTTAATCTCTGCACTTCAGTTTCCCCATCCAACATCTTAATTGTAGCCCTGTGGAGAGACAGCTCTGAGGCAGGAGCGCCCAGCCAGGCCACACCGGATTCTTGACCCACAGAAATGGTGACATAATGCATGTTGCTTTAAGCCACTGAGTTTTGGTGTCATTTGTTACACAACAATAAATACACCACTTCTTAGATTAAAAGAAATAATAAAAATGGGTTCCTCTTCACTAGTAATGGTTTTTCTTTCCTTTTTTTAAGAAAGATTTTATTTGACAGAGATGAGAGAGGGAGAGCACGAGCAGGGGGAGCAGCAGAGGGAGAGGGAGAGGGAGAAGCAGGCTCCTTGCTGAGGAAGGAACCCAACGCGGAACTCGATCCCAGGACCCTGGGATCATGACCTGAGCTGAAGGCGGACGCTTAACCGACTGAGCCACCCAGGCGCCCCACAAGTAATGGTTTTTCAATGACTATTTCATCATTAGGATTTTGCTGGGCTTGAGTAGAAGTTGTTCTGGACGTCTAACTCTTCACCAGGTCAGCGTCCATAGTCAGTGGGCTGCATTTCCAATAGAGCCGCTGTCAGTGGTATAACGATGGTGTGGGGAGGCAGGTTCTGCTGTTCCTTCTGGATCTTCTACTAACCAACCTAGTTTGGTGTCCAAATATCTGAACTCTAGGCAGTTATTCATAACTGCTCTCTCCTAATTCTTGTAAGAGCCAGCTCTAGATTTTCTCTCTGCTCTAACACATGATTTTTTGCTTCTTTGCTTCTTCCTGCCTCTCTGGCTTCTGCCACTCAGCAGGTGGTGGTGACTTGATTACAGTTTTTAGAATTTCTAAGTTATTACTGGCCTGTCAGTTTATGGACTGATTTGCATTTACATACTGTTTGTTTCTTCAGTAATCACCTCTTAAGGGATCAATGCCTTGGGCTCTCTGAGCAAGCCCATTAACAGACATCAAAGTTGGCCCAAATCCAAGTAAAATAAGCATTTTTATTTTCTTGAATTTATACTGCTTTCTCCTTTTAAAAGATGTTTGAAATTTAACGTGATTTCTCTCAAAAGTTTTATTAGGAGGTATTCTACATGTGGTGCATATTTACAGTCTTGTCCTAAAAACAAAAGTAAGCTTTCCTAGCAATGGCATGTCCATCTCTTGTAAGGTCAATCTTCCCCCAAGGCTGTGGGCCCCCCCAGTTTATTCTGTAAATGCATCCTAGGCCCCCTGATTGATTGGAACGACCTGTACCTTGGAAAACGGAGGCCTGTCAAAGCTGAGCATTCCTGTGCCCGAGTCTGGCAAGGGGAAACTGCTTGTTTTTCCTCCTCTCATGAAGAATCCCTCCTTTGGCAGGGCCATTCCAGAGAGAGAATGGTCAATCAACTCTCTCTAAAACCTGAGCCAGTAACAGGATTGTACATAGTTCTTGGCTCACTAAATTCCTTTGTGATGCAGAGCTGCTGGCCAAGTTGGGAGGACTGACTACTGACTGAATTTCAACCAGTCTAAAAAGATTGTGGGAACAACAGGCTGAACTGGGCCTGCTTCCGAGTTGACCAATTTTAAGACTTGTGCTCTTATCCCCCTTCCAATAATACTCACAAAATCGGCACATGCGTCACAACTGATGCTGTTAGATGTCATCTGGTAAATATTGGTTTTAAGCAGCAGCAGCAGCAGCATTATTGTAAATGTACTAGCCTACTATTAGAGGGGTCTATGGGCATCTGAGTTTAATGCTCTGCTTAATGCAGAGAATCCTGACCATCTGTGGCAAGGATTGACTAATGGAGCCTGGGCTGTGTGTTCTGGACCTTTCCTCAGGTTAAGGCTGCTGTTACCAATCTGTGGTTTTTTTTTTTTTTTTAAGATTTTATTTATATCTTTATTTGAGAGAGCACACGCTGGGAGAGGGGCAGAGGGGGAGGGTGAGAGACAAGCAGACTGTGCTGAGGATGGAATCTGACAAAGGGCGTGATCTCAGAGTCCTGAGATCATGACCTGAGCCGAAATCAAGAGTTGGATGCCCAACAGACTGAGCCGCCCAACAGACTGAGCCACCCAATTGTCCCGTGTTGGTGTTTTTTATACAAACACAGCTCAGATAAAGTTAAGCACCATTTCATACAATTTAAGAAAAACATATCTGAGTTTTCTAAATAATGTTGGATTATATGCTTACATGCACCAAACTAAAATTTGCTATGGTATTTTTTTAAGTAGACTCCACACCCAGCATGGAGCCCAACATGGGACTTGAACTCACGACCTTGAGATCAAGAGTCAGACACTTAACCGACTGAGTCATCCAGGTGCCCCACTACAGTATTTTCTAAATTTATGCTGTTCTGTATAGTTTCATATTTTTTCAGATACTAAATCAATGTATACATTCTAGGTTCAAGAGAGCACAGGTACTTCTATAAAAAATAAGTTTTATTAACAAAATGGGCTCACAGTATAAAATACATATAGATGGTTCATTATACCAATTTTTTTTTTGGATCATCTTTCTTATTAGGTGTAGCACTGTAGACAAGTAAATAAAACACAAGCAAAGACTAATTACCCCTGCCCAAGGCCTATGAAACCATGAAAAACAAACACAGACTGCTAACTCGGTCATCTTTTACCTCTCCTTCCACCATTAACCTCTTGGAAAGCTGCTTGTTACTCTTACGCTACGTCTCAGTACCATCCTGGCCACTCAAGAGAGGCAGAATTGGGAAGAAAATGAGTTTAAGTTTAAAGCAAAAGCTCTTGCCCAAAACAGTGCTAGAAATCTAGCTTAGGAGATTCTGGCTGTAACTGCTGATAATCACGTCCCTCAAGGGCCACTTCTTTATTCCTTAAGCCAGAGAACACCACAAAGACATGACTAACTTTTTATGCCCTTCCTCAGTTTGGGCTGGGCAGCCCCAGCGAAGGATGGCAGGATTTCAGTGAAGTAGAAATGGCTTAGATGTTCCATTTAGAACTTCTGTAGGAATTTGAGAACGAGGTCCCGCAGTCGTACCCTGAGCATCTCATCATTATCACAAATGATATGAGTCGAATCTTCCTCAATCTGGATGAGCGTCTCCGCTTCCTGGAGCAGGACAATATGGCCCTTCGCTGTGTCTTCTACCTTAATATCGCTGAAGCCATGCTGCTCCAAAAGAAGAAGAGAAAGGAGGATGATGGATACTGTGAAAGCAAGGGGCTGACTGAAAGGCAGGAGGATATTGCAGCAACTGACAGTTCTAAGAAAGGACACTTCCTAGACTTGGCTAAACTGAACCTTCTAGAAACTGTCATTTTTGATGCTCCCCAATATAATTCTTCAGACTTGTCACAGGACCTCCTACAACAATAGAATTTAAACACAGCTGCATATACTTTAAAAGAAGCCTCCAAACATGCAAAATCTCATGCAAAACACAACAAAACTTCTATAACCTGCATAAGCTTTTGTGAGTTACCTGAGGAGCACATCCAAACACCTGGGTTCAGCCCATGCTGGGCTGTCCATCACCAGCCTCCGAACCATGCCAATGGTCCCTGATTAAAAAAAAAAAGCCTCATCCCATCCCAGGAAAACGCCATTCCTCAAAGCAAGATACCAATGGCCTTGTGATTTGGCAAATCCTTCTCGAGGAAGAAGGAGACAAGGCAGCACAGAAATACTTCTCTAACTACCTTAATGTGAGTTACAGAATTTTCTTACACATCATAACATGAAATTGAGAAAGAGGAAAAGAAGTAGAAATAAGACTGCTCTGCCTGAAAGGGACAGGTGCTAAGGGTCAGTTTCTGGATGAGCCAGGCCAAAGGACTAAGTGAAGGTGTTTCTGGGAAAGCAAGCTGTTTCAAGCTTTAAAAAGAAACAAGTCAAGCTGAGTCCTACCAATAGGGGCCAGAGCAGCACCAAGTTCCGAGGAAGGAGCTGCTGCCGTGTTCACTGCATCACACGGGACACTCCCAGGCTAATTCCCATACAGTGTCCCCACCTTCAGGGGCCAGGAGGGCTGCGCAACGTGGTCACAGTCTTTCCTTCAGGGACAAATTAAATCACTGATGGCCGGCTGCCGATCCGGGGCAGGGCCAGTGTCCTCCAGAGTTCCGCCGATTTCCTCCCTCTTCCGGCCCGTTGCTGGGCGTTGCTTCTCCCACTCCCAGGGATCTGGCCACATGGGCGCCTCTGCCCTCACTGCCCCCCCAGTCCTGAGCCTCTCGTCTCTTGTGACACGGCCATGCTGGCGCTCTGACAGCAAGGGGTCTTCTTGGAAAGTGAGCCTTGAAGGGGCAGACCTACAAAGTCGTCTTTACCTGGCCTTTCCCACCTTGCTCATCGGTCGCATCTAGGTTTCTGAAGGGCTCCCCTGGTTAGTTCCCACAAGAAACGGGGTGGGGTGAGGTAGTCTCATGGCCGAATCTGATGGGAAGGGGCTGGCAGAGAAGAAACAGGGGACCTATGGGGAAGGAGGGCATGGTCTTCTCTCACCTCGCTGGGGCCGTCCCCCCGTTCTGTTTCCCGCCATGACCCTGCATCAAGCAGATGCTTCAGGGACAGCAGCTCAGCTGGTGGAGCCCGAGAAAAAAGCAGCAACACACACGAGCGAACAGCAGGGAAGCTGCTCCCGTGCGGCCTGGGTAGCGCTCACCTTCTCCAGCGTCTGCACGAACTGCTCTACGGGGATCGAGCCGCTGAGCAGGGGCTTCAGCACTTTGCAGTCCGGGATGTCCTCACTCGCCCGCTTTCTCTTCTTACCGCCGGTGGGCTGGGCCGGCCTGGGCGGGGGCTAGAGCGGGAGACAACGCAGATCCCATCAAGCACTCCACCCTGAGAGTGGGCAGTGCAGGGCCACGGCATGAGCCTGTCTGCCCAGCCCGCCCAGGACCCCGCTGCCTGGCCCGCGCCATCCCCGCTGCAAGGTCAGCCAGCTCTGGAGTTCAGGGCCACCGTGGGCTGGGGGCTCCACCTGGCGTTCTTTGTAACAGAAGCTAACGCCAAAGCACCCACACAGCATCGGGGCCTTTCCTGGCAGAGGGGTCTTCCTTTGATCAAGACTCATTTTTAAGTTTTAAATGATTCATTTCAGTATTTTCCAAGTAAATTCTTTAAAAAGTCAGAGAAACTATCTACAAAGTGGCGGTAATGGAATTTGGTGAGGATGAAGTGGGAAGGTGAGAAATGATCATGGCAAGGGGCTCCCGTGGCGGCGCGCATATTTTACATGGCAGAAAAGTCCAAGTCTGAAAGGAGTTTTTCTCGGTGGGGGGGGGGGGGCGGTGCGAGGACAAGGGCCTACAGAGTGACGCCTGGAGGCAGTAAACACGGTGAACTGGGGCACGAGGTGCCAGGGACAAGGTGCTGTGGCCTGTGGGCTGGGTTGGCTCACAGCTGCCCAGGTGCTGCCCGCTTCCCCAGGCGTGTTCTGTAGGGGAGGCCTCCTCCGGGGGGTGGGGGGGTGGGTTTCCCTGCTGCTCTGGGGGCTCCCCCCCTGCCCCGCCCCACGCCTGCAAGCAGCCCCCACCCCGCACTCTGCACTGCGGGTCTAGCGAAGGCGCCGCCGGTGCTTGGAGCCGGGAAGGGCACTTAGGATGATGTGCGGCCCCAGCTCTATGAATAATAGCTGCTCTTCCCATTTATCTCTCTGAGGCATGTGGCCAGAGAAACAAGTAGGGAAGAATTTATATGCCGTGTTCTCTGTGCTTCAAATCTAATCCATTAAGGAGTCTGGTCTCTGACTTGTGCTGGTTGGAGTGCCAGGACCACTGGTGGGGGGTGGCCTGGGGGGTTCCTCATCTTCCCAGGCTCCAGCGGCAACTCAGGGTGCAAGCCCAGCCCACCCTCCCCCATACCTGAAGGACGTGCTTGTTATCTTTCGTGTGCAGCACAGCCGAGACGGTTGCCAAGGAAATGCCAGGCTTAATCTCCATGGGCACCAGCGCATCTGCAAGCTGGAAGCAAACAGGGTCTCAGGTGGGCTCACCTACATGTGAGGGACGAGGTGCTGCAGCTGCGCCATCCGAAGTCAGCACCAGGAGGCCACACGGGGAGCTCACGGATGGCTGGGGATGGCCAAGGCCAGCTTTCCACAGCCACCAGCTTGCTCGCAGCGCCGCGCCCCTGCCAGCCTGGTGGGAAAGGTGTGGTACCTGGCGCCATGAAGCTGAGCCATTAGTGACTGCCATTCCTCCTTTTCTTTTCTTTTGAACTTTTGTTTATATCATCGCAGTCTAAAATGATTACATGACTTTAAGGAAGAAGGTAAAAAAATTTAAAAATAGGTTTAATCAAAAATACATCACACATACAAGAAAGAAGGAGGTAAGAGAAGCGGAGAGAAGGGGGTGGTGGCGGTGGGTAAACTGGGCTGAGAAGAGGAGAGAAGGAGCCTGAGCCCAGTGTTCTTCGGCCTGCCCTGGGTGCTCTCCCTGGAGGCGGCCCACAACTCTCAGCAGCCACCTTGCGTAAGCCTGTGCCGTCGCATGCCAGGACCCCAGGGTGCTGACCCTTCTGCTTCACCCTTTTGTTAGTCAAGCCCCCAATGATGCACCACCAATACCCTGCCACGGGCTCATCACCCGAGCTGCCACAACCTCACATCCACCTTCCAGGTGGCTTCCAGACCGCTCCTGACACTTCCACGGGATCGCTCAGAAACCGCTGAGGGCTCTTCCTTACTCAGAATACCTATCAGGTGCCGACTTTCCATGCCGGCCTCTGCCTCTGTCTGACCTCATAACCACCAGGTGACTAGTGTCAGGTAGGAAGGACAGGACAGCAGCATTTGGACTGAGTGAGCTAATTCCTCGAAATCTGACTTCTCCTAAAGGTGGAACACCCAACCATCTCTTTCCCTACCACCCGAGTCTGACGTGCACCCCTTCTCCGAGGCAGCTTTGGAGCTCCCCGACCCCACCACTGGCAGCGATGTGTGATCTTGTGAGAAGCCCTCGCTTCCAGGTTGAGTCGACTATCACTCTGACACATGTAGACCCCGGGCTGTGCAAGTCTCCTTTGTGTAAAAACAAAAGTGAATAAATATGCAAGACTCCATTTATGTTAACTATGAAGATCAATATCCCACAGACAGAGGACGCCGCTTAGGACATTTAAGAGGAATGTGAGAACTGTTTCACGAAATAAGGAAGCACACACAGCATGAGTGTGAAATGCTCCCCCTGGGAGACCCATGTCTGCTTCGGGCTCCCGACAATGCCCGTCCGCATGTGGCCTGGCAGCACTGGCCTGGGAGGTGTGGGGACAGCATTGTGGGGACATGGGCAGCCCCATGAGTGAAATATAAGACTCCGTTGTGCCACGAGGGACGTCTACCTAGAGTCCACAACCGCCACCACTCAGCTCAGACATGTCTGCGAGCGGGGGATGCATCCCTCGCTGCCCAAGACCAGAGAGAGAGTTTTCCCACCAGAACACATCCACAAGGGCTGGCACATCAAGTCGCCTGTCTTGCACTTACAGGGACAGAGGAGGAGGATTATGAGGAAGCTGCAGAGGACACACTCTCATTTGGGGGAGAAATAAGCATTCCTTAGCAGTAGCAAAACCTGAAGAATGGCGACAGATTTTAACCCCTGCATCTCACGCAGGCCTCTCCCAGGCAAAACTCAATGATGCTTTTAGTTCTCTCTACATTCCGTATAAGGACAAAGATTTCTGTGAAAGAATGTTTCTGAAAGCATGATTTATAATATAGAAAAAGCAGAGATCATAAATGTCCATAACTGAAGGAAGAGTTATGAGATGCACTTAAGATGTTAACAGCTGTTACTTCACTACACGAAAAACGAGAAGGCTCTGAAGACCCCACCTCCCTTCCCAGGTCCTCGCTTAAGGGTCTGCTTTCTGTGGCCAAAAGACAGCCACCTCTGGGACAGTCCTCTTCTGAGACTCAAGGGGAAAGCCCAGGTTTGACCATGAGAGAGAGAACGGCTCACCTCTGGCATGATTTCGATCTTCTCATAGCGACGCTTGAAAGGTAAGGCGAGGACCTCGGCCCGCCGGTACGACATGGCAGGCGGCTGGCAGTCGATCATCAGGTCCATCCGGTGGGACTGCGCGGGGGGTGGCTGTGTGTACTGCTCGGGGCAGACCACGTGGAGCGGCTGAGAACCGACGGGACAGGGGCAGGTGAGGGAGACGGCCCAGCCATGGCCTCGTGCGCGCACGCTCGAACGCACCACTTTCACGCCATCTGACCTCTCCTCCTCTCAAACCCAAGTAACGGGGAGCAGGAGAGGTGAGCGCAGTGCGGGGAAAGAAGAATAAAAACTTCAGGGCAAAGCCCTCAACTGCCAGCCATGTAGACCAGTGGGGGAATCCAGTGCCTCTCTTTGCATTTGTTTTTGTTTACTATTTTTAAGGCACTTTGATGGTGACTTCCATGGGTCTACTCTTAACTGGTCCTGAAGGCCCTGGAGGGCATAATCTTGTCACACCTACCATCACTGACTGGTGGGGACAGCTGGTGGCCAGTGGGCGACAACTGCTGACTTTCGGGCTAGTCTGATGTTCCGGGGTTGGGCTTTTTTCTGGTATCGGCAGATCCGCTGGTTTTCGACAGTGGGCACTGGTCAGGTCACATACTCAATTGTGTAGGACAGACTGAATCAGAGCTTTTTTCCAAAATATCTCTCTTTGTTATTTTGAGAGACAAAAATAGTAAACCAACGTCTACTTGGGACAAATACTACGCAACTGAAAATTGATCCCAGCAGCCCTGAATTCATTGTATTGCTGCTGCTTTTACTTAAGAGCCTGGAGCTGGCCTCAAGTTCCTGGAAGGAGGCCTTCCAGCAAGCCAACCAGCTGCGTTCAAAACAGCGCTTGTTCTGTTGGGCTCATCCTTGTCTCTTCCTGACCCGGGTGGTATGTTGTTAACTCCTCTCACAGCCAGCTGACGGCACGGTCTCAGCCTGAGGCCTCCAGCCGCCTTTCCCCCTTCTCCAGGGGAGACCAGGTGGCCTCCCGTCCCCACTGTCCCTGTGCTCCGAGGGGATCCATGAGCGCAGCACTGCTGTGGGGATGGCGAGAGGCCGGGGTGGGGGTAGGGGTCTCTTAGTCAACTGTCTCTGCCCGCATGCTGACGCGTACACGATGGGCTATTGCATCACCAAACCGGCCCCAACTTATCCACTGCTCTGATCATGTCTAGAGAAAGCCCATATTCTTTCCTGTAGGGCCAGCGAGCGAGGAATCACCATTAGCCATGATCTCTGCATTCCCGGGGCTCTTCAGCTTCCCATTCCTTGCTACCCTTCCTCAGAGTTCTGTGTTAGTGCCTCCCAACCCGAGGTCAAAGATTCTGGGAGGAGGAAAGCAAACTTCTGACCTGGGCTGAGGAAAGTGAAGGGAGCTAATCATCCCTTGCTAAATTACTAGGTGAAGTGACAGGAGACATGCCAGGGCACTGTGGTGCTCATTTGAGCTCCTGAGGCAGCGGGGAATGAGAAACCTTCCTCTGGCCTCGCTTCCTGGCCAGTCCCAAGCAGCCTCCCCACGCCCACTATCAGACATGCTGCTGAGCGGTCGCTCCCCACCCTCCCTCTCAGTTCTCCTGCTGTGCAGACAGCCTTCCTTTTACCGACCCATTTACCCAATTACTTCTGCCCTTTCTCTATGGCAGAAAGTGCAAAAGGAAAAAACACACAAAAGCAACAAAAAACCAAACCAAACCAAATCTCTCATAAAAAGCAAAGTAACCCAGTGTGTGGTACTCATCCACATGTACAACAGGGCCCAATCCAGGTCTCAGCTAAACTGTCTTTTGATCCATGAGATTTCTAGAATGACTTTTTTGAGGGGAGAGGGGGCAACTTGCTTTTAACTGGACACAGAATTTTCTCATCAAAAATAATAGACTGTTTATGCTTTTTTTCCCTTCCACTTTTGATTTCTTTAGAACAGAAAGTTGCTTTCCGGGTGTAAAGCTCAGTGCTGTGAAGGGTAACTAAGGAGCGCGCCAGCATGCTGCAGACATGTGAAAAGTGAGCCAGGCAAGAAATGCAGCAAGGCAGCTGGCCCTCACCCCACAGACGCACGAACCCCCCGGCGGTGACAGGGCCGTGCGGGGACACCTGCGAAGGGTCCCTTCCTTACCTGCACTTCCTTAAGCAGCTTGGACACTTGGATGAAATTCAGCCGTGTATCAATGGGGCAGTAAATGCATTTCATGGCCAAGGGCTGGTAGGGAGCCAGTGCTTCCAGGTAGGAGAAATCAGGTTCTAATGAGAGCACAAAAACAACATGTGAAATGCACACAACGGAGTCGCCGCCAAGTGAGGAGGCGGCTGGTGTGGTTAAGGCCAAGCAGACGGCCCCACGGTCGGGAGGCTGAGGCAGTGGAAGGCCGGTGGGAGCCGGGTTCCTTATCACTGGGGAGGAGGTCTTTCCACATAAGGACAAGGAGAGGCCCAAGTGAACAGCGCAGGGTGGATGCAGAATTGGATGGATGGGTGTGAGCTCAAGGCTTCCAACACACAGAGACAGAGGAGATAAACAAGCGGTAACTAAGTAAATGGGGGAGAAGGGAAAGCACTTCTTTACGACAAAAGGCCAAATAAAGGTAAAAGAAACAATGAAGGTAAAGAAAAAAAAAATCCCCATTTGGCAACCATCACAGTAATAATTTTTTCTGACCAGGATCATCAATAGATGCTAAAAAAATTAGACAGAAATCTGGGGAAGACCAGGATATGTAGTCTCAAAGTGTCCATCTGCCCCGACCCCCAAGACATGATTACATATAAAAATAGTGACCTCACAGTGGAGAAATCTGGCGCAGGCCACTCGAATCGAGTGCTCAGAGTTAACACGCAGGGATGAGACAAGCCACACACCACCTACTTGGCAGGATGCCCCAAGAGGAAAAGAAAAGGACCCTGGCCCCACGTCACCATACGCTCCTGCTGCGGCCACTGTGCTCCTCTCAGCCAAGCCCCCGCGCAGCCTTCATGGCCCGTCTGTTCCCTCCGAACCACTCACCGCAGCCTGCTTGGCAGGGACAATCAATTCACTCGAGGAGGCTGTCCACCCTGAGCCAGAAGAACCGGCACATTTCTGGTGTGAAAAATAATACTCAGATTCCCAACAGCCTGTGCCCCGACGAGGACATCACTTCTTACAGCCCTCATGCGTACACTCACCTGTCCCACTACCTTATCCAGTGCATTTGGGAAAACTGATGGAACTTCCAGATTTTTAAACTGCTCCCCATCCAGCAGCTCCTCTTTCCTGAGAAGAACACCCCCAAATGAGACAAGCATTTGGGAGGGATGACAGACTCCCTTTTGACGTGGACTGTGTGAGCTTCAACTGTGCCATGGCTGTAATGCGATCCGCAACAGTGGTCTAAGACTCCTCTCTGACACAACCAGACCTCACAAATGACCTAACTGCTGCTCTGAAAGCCCCTCAACACCAGTTGAGATTTAAATTCATTATCCCAGGTGGTCATTGACCATCACACAGCCCTTGATTTCTTCCTAGCTGAAGGAAAATTCATACCATAGCCAATCCTCTAACTATGCCTGTGTAAACACTGTACCCACTGTCCTATCAGAGTCAACAACTCCTCAAAAAGAACAGGAGAGACCCCTGCTTAGTCCTAAGGTTCTCCAGATTGCCTCCCGCTTAGCAAAACTTGGCAATGGTGAGGTTCTGGGTACCATGAGTCAGTGTCTTGTGGCCTGACTTCCTCTTGGCCAAAGGGGGCACGGGAAACAGAGAAGCAGCTGCTTTTCTAAGCTGCTGACAGCTTTTCTAAGCTCTGACAGCTGCTTTTCTAAGCTCTCGTGACCCTTTCTACTAGGCCTTGCTGTTGGCCAGAGCTGGCCTATCACTCACGGCTAGGCCACGGTGTTCTCCTGTTGGACACACACAATTTCACAGAGCACTCACACCAGACATGGCCACTCGGTGACCACAATGGATCAAGACAACAACAAGAACCCTTTTGTAATCGTGCCTGAACACAAAACCACAACGCTGTTCCAACCCCAAAAGAAGTAAATATTACCCTATCCTGGCTCCATTCTTCTTGCCTTCTAGATAAGAATTATTAAGATACTCAATCACATAACCACTCCTGTTTCCTGACAGCAGCCAATCCAGAACAATGTCCCACAGCTGTGAACCCACCTCAAAATCAGCCAACACAAGCCCAAATCCATAGTTCTTTTCAACATGCTCTGAGATGCCTCCCACTTCCCCATGGTATGCGTCCTTCCCAGCTGCAGTGAGTTGTGATGCCACCTTTGTTTGACTAGTCACGTGGTGGAGGCCTCTGGCACTCCTCACCAACAGGCTGAGCCCAGGGAAGGGCCCCAGTGTCCCTGATCCTAAAGCGCTGGGGATGGAGTAGACTCTCGTCCATCATTCAAGTCTTAAAAGAAATGAGAAAGAAGTCAATTGATAACTTTCTTAACAGCTTTTATGTGCCAGGAACTGTATGAAGTGTCTTCTTATAACATTTCACTAAACGCACAGGGCCACTCAAGGAAGGAGCCAGCAATAACGCCATTTGATGAGGAAGGAAATGAGGCTCAGAGACATGGGTAACTTGGCTTCAGTTACAGTCCATTGGACCACATTCGGATCAAGGTTTTTTATTTCACTGCCTATAAGATTTCCAAATCCCAAGGCTGACTAAAGATCTAAAATTGATAAAATAATATAGTTATTAAGTAAAACCCCTGCTTGACCTCATGAAAGGATCTGTTCTACTTTGAAGGGTTTGTCTCCAGAAGGAAAACTGTAAGCCAGGGAAAACTATAACCAAAGGAGAGAGGCCCAATTCAGGAAATAATTCCTAAAGGGTAAAACAAGAGTGGTTACTAGAATTATTGCCATTCTTGAAACAGCATACAAAATCCTCACAAAAACATTTAAGTAGAAATCTGCCTCAGGGAAAAATCTCCAAAAACTGCTGTGAAAGTTTCGTCCAGCATAGTTTCCTAACAGTCCATCTTGCTCTAGTCCGACTCCTTCCCTTGTGGTTTCTTCACCCTTGGTATCTACGACAAATGAGTGTTCATACTTCTGTCTTACTGTAAAATTCGTCCATTGGTCTCCATTTGGTCGGTGTGTTGAGTGATGGCCCCAGGGGAAAGGGCAAGCTTTTGTTTGTTTACCTGTAAATATGACAGTGTTGAGACTCGACTTCCCCCAGAGCTCCATGAAGTGGACCACGTCCCCAAACCGGAGGGAGGGGTGCCCGGTGAACACCACGCACGGCTGGCGGAAATCACTGCTGAAGTCTCCGTGGAGGCTGGGGTAGTGCTTCAGCTTGTTGGTCTGAATGAGCTGCAAGATGTACAGAGAAGCACACGAAGAGACGTCAGCCCGTGCAGGCAGAGGCAAGAACCGCACAGCATGGCAGAGGGAGCAGAAGGAAATTACAAATATAAACAAATCTGATTGATATTTGTCAAAAACAGACATTGTCTACCTACAAGGTGACTTTCTGAACAGATGAGGCCTTCTGGTACGTATTAACATACTCAGGGGATACTTCTGTTCAGGCTGTTAAGGCCTGATGGAGTCTAAGTCTTCCTTTAGAGCTTCCTGACACTTCAAGCTCTGGCCCCAGAAGTTCCCAATATGAGTTATTATTTGAAGTACAAGTAACTTTCCCAAAATACATGAATCACTAAGTTCTGTCAACAATAAACACCTCACACAAGGAAAATTATTTAGCCGCATAGGACCACCTCTTGAGAAGTTATAGCTGCAAGTTACTGCAGCAACTTCATAAAGACAAAGGCCAAATTGGCTTTCAGAAATTTAGATGTGACATGCTCACAACACAGAGCTGTGGGAAGATGTGGGCCATGCGCAGCCTCAGACTTGTCTCAAAAGTGTATGCTTTGAACTAAAAAGATCTCCCTTCCAGCACAATACCTGGCACTACTCTCCCAAAGTCATGCCCAACCCAAGGCAACACCACAGACAGCAGCCCCACACGGCGTCCTGTGACATGGCTCAGGAGCTCTTCCTGCTGCCCTGGCCCTGCCCTAACCCCCTACTCCAGCACCAAAAGGTCAGATGACAAACATCCTGATTTCAGAGACCCTATATACCTGCTAGGTCAAAGGGAGTACTGCCCTGAGATATTGTCTGATGGATAAAGAAATGGTCTGTGACACAACTTAATCTGACGCAACCCATCATGCATAAGAGGGGAGCCCAGTCAACAACCCCAACTCCAAGTGAAGTCACCCCAATAGTGAGATGTGGCCACAATGGGACAACCCCCAAATGGGAGCCAAACTCTCTTCACTTTAAAGATTTAATCTTTAATTCAGAGAGACTGCTTTTACTAGTAACACTGCGACACTACCCCGGAGATCCCAATCAGGTGTCCGAGGTTGGATGGGACATGCATAGTAAACATGGAGCAAACGCTGAATTCCCACCTTCCTGCCAAGTTATGTACAAGTAAGCTGATACTCTTTTTATAACCGATCTAGCCAAAATCATTCCTTGTCCCAGTTAAGTAAGGGTGAGCGCTGTCTAAAAGACTAAGCCTGCTGTGTCCGTTGCCGTCAAGGAGATGAATGAGACTCTTAAGAATAGCAGTGGGTCTTTGCACGTAACTTAAATCACTTTTTGGTCTTTACCTACAGTTCCTGAAGTTCTTTCTTCTGATCAATGCACAGAAACTAAGATAAATTCATCTCTCTCTCTCTTTTTGGTTTTGGCCAATTGGATCTACCTTTCCAGCTGACTTACTATATTTGACAATCCAGAATTACCTCTGCACTTCTTTAAGGTCTAAACCGCACAGGCAATGAAGCTGTAGGGTAGGAATTCTGTAATTTTTTTTTATCAGTACTAAGGGCAGAACTGTATTTTCTCATGGGCACTGGTCACAGTACCCAGAGTCAACTCCATCATGCCCTAACGTTGGCAAGTGCATTTCAGGACCCCTGTTCACGCCACTATGGTCTTTTCATATTCATTACTGTAAACAGGACAAAGGTCATCTGTGACATATGTGGGTAAGAATGTATAGCAACACTCTTAGAAAACAAAGAAAGGCTAATTGTTGATAGGAGGGGAGAAAAACAGACTTTCAGTGGTAAAATCAGCCACAAAATATGTTTTGCCACACTTAATTTTCTGACATTACTTCATTTCTAGCCTGAATTTCACTGCGGTAATGGCAGAGCTTGCAAATACCGCGGCTACTGTAACAGTGTGGGGACTAAAAAATGACTTTCTTAGAAATTGCCACGTGAAATTCTGGTTCGGTTAAAATCCTCTGGAGTAGGAATAAGTAAGAATAGTACGAGTTGTCAAGTTTTAAACAGTTAGCAGGATGTTTGTTGCAATTTTCTCAGAAATTCCCGTTTGCCCCTTTCCAGTTACTGTTGCCCCATCCCTACCTCCAAGGTGACCACTGTGCTGGCTCCCGATACCATAGATGAGTTTTGTGTTTTTGAACTTGTATATAAAGAAAATCACATGGTGTCTACTCCCTTCTGTCTGACTTATTTCACTCACATCGTGTTTGTGAACTGTGTTTACATGACTATATGTAATTGGAGTTCGTTCATTCTTATTGGTGTAAGATATTCCACTGTGTGAATATACCACAAAGTCCACTAGACTGTTGACGGCATTTGGGTCTATTTCTGAACTACTACTAAGAGTGCTCTCAACATTTCTGTGCATCTTTTGGTGACACACCTATGTATTTCTGTTTGGTATGTACTTCAGAAACAAAACTGATGAGGCAGAGAGTACGTTCTGTGTTTAGCTTTAGCAGATACTGCCAGTTTCCTAAAGTGGTTATGCCAATTTAAACAACCTTTTAAAAAATATAACAAAAAATTGGGCGTAACTCTTGTCAGATAGTAAGAGAATTGTTAAGTATATTACAAAATGTCCATATGATATGCTCCAGAATACTAGGCAGCAATAATAATGATATGAGGCACACAGAAAAATGTCCATGATACACTATTTGGTGAAAAATATAATGAAAACAAAACTGGGACAAAGCTATATAAAAACACTCATCTGTTCTATGAGAAAGGTATAATTTTTCCATTTTTAAGAAACAGAGGTATAGGGGAGCCTGGGTGGCTCAGTCGTTAAGCGCCTGCCTTTGGCTCAGGTCATGATCCCAGGGTCCTGGGATCGAGCCCCACATCGGGCTCCCTGCTCAGCGGGGAGCATGCTTCTCCCTCTCCCACTCCCCCTGCTTGTGTTCCCTCTCTCGCTGTGTCTCTCTCTGTCAAATAAATAAATAAATAAAAAAACTAAAAAAAAAAAAAAAAGAAACAGAGGTATAACTGACATATAATGTTGTATTAGTTTCAGCTGTACAGTATTTTATCTATTGTGAAAAAATCACCACAGTAAGCCTCGTTAACATCCATCACCATAAATGTTACAAACTTTTTTCTTGTGAGAACTTTTAATATCTGCTCACTACAGTCACAATGCTGTGTATTACATCCTATGACTTATTTATAAGTAGAAGTTTGTTCCTTCTGACCCCTTATTTTCTAAAAACTTAAATGTTATTATTTTCATCATTAAAGCTTCACATATATGGTCAACATAACTAACTGGAAAGAAGACTTTACACAATAAATAAATCTGTCATTATGTAAAAAAGTTAGTAGTGGGTATTAGATAAAATTCCTCACCCAGTCAACAGAACAGAGGTAGGTTATGAAATGCAGACACATACTGGTACTATAATGTGTTAATGACAAGAGAGAGTAGTGAATCTTGAGTTAGAGTACTTCCCAGTTGCCTCACATGGGAAACAAAGGGCTACATGAGCTTATGTAAGGATTTTTTAAATTTTTATTTTGAGAGAGAGAGAGGGAGAAACAGAGGAAGGGGAGAGGGAGAGAGAGAGAATCTTAGGCAGGCTCCATACCCAGCATGGAACCCGAAGAGGGGTCTCATGACCCTGAGATCATGACCTGAGCCAAAATTAAGAGTGGGACACTTAACTGACTGAGCCACCCAGGCGCCGCAGGATTTTTTAAAATCCGATGACCTACTATCTCCATCTCGAACCATTTATCTACAGTTTTTCTTGCTCTCACCCGATAATGCCATTTTCTTACCTCTGCATGAGGAAAAGGTGGTTCTGGGAGATACACCTTGGTCTGTTTGTTGTGACAAAGCCTTTTAAAGAGGAAAAGCAGATGAGCTTGTTAGGTAGAGCACACAGGGGCATTTGCTGCCACCTAGTGGTAGCAGCGCAAACACTACTAAAGGTTACTTAAAATCCTCCTGTTAGGGAATCTCGCTGTGACTAAAAGCCAGCGCCTATAGAGTATTCAGAACATAAATGTCTTGTGTGCATTTTTTAACTCTTAAATTACTCAATACACTTTTGCCTTAAAAATAAGCCTGTTATTTTGGAATAGTTTTAGATTTACACAGAAAAGTTGCAAAGACAGTCCAGACTTCCCTTGTGCCCTATACCCAGAGTCCCCTTCACGTTAACATCTTACATAACCACGATCCGTTTGGTGAACGAAGAAATTAACATTACTGCATTACAACCAACTAAATTCCCATTTTGTTTGGATTTTTACCAGTTTTTCCACTAAAGTCCTTTTCCCATTGCAGGATCCAATTCAAAGTATCCTTTGATTCTGTCCTAGCCTATCCTTGCATTCATTGTGATCGCTTTTGAGGACAAAGTGACAGGTTTTTTTCAGACACACAACTTGCTATTTTGCACGCCCACTAAGTGTTTTAGGTAGTCTATGCTCTTTCTTGGCCAGGTCTGACATTTAAAATATGGAAATGTCTGAATAAAGCAATTGTGGCAAAAGTTAACAACTGATATCAAGACTCATGGGTGTTCTGTAGGTTTGGCATTTTTAAAAGTAAGAAAAAAATATATGTAGTGATGTATGTTTGTTAGCGCCCATCTGTGAGAATTCTACTAAAATAGTATTAAAGTATTTCAATAGTTCTAACAGATACTACTTTTGGGGGAGTAGTTCAGGACTTCAGGGTTTGGGTTTTATATTAACTTCATTAATACTACTTTTTAATTTTTCCTACACTTCGCTTTCCTTAATCTTGATTAAAAAATCACTTTATATGTTTTTTGGAGGAAGATGTAAATATAGAAGGAAGATACTTTCGGAGGGTTACTTTATATTATATATATAGTTCTAAACAGGAAGATAAAACTCTTAAACTCAGGAAGAGAGGCAAATACAAGATGTTCATTTAAGGTTTCTTAGATTGTTGCAAAGGATATTATGCTGCCTTAGTTAGCATCAATATAGAAAACTAAAGTATTTCTGTCAAAAAAAAAAAAAACCAACCAAAAACAAAAACCTAAATGCCTTGTGGTATCCTGGACTAGATCCTGGGACTGAAAACAGACATTAGTAGAAAAATTGTACAATCTGAATAAAGACTGGAGTTCAACTAATAATAACATGCTAATGTTCATTTCTTAGTTTTGGCACGTATATATGGCCACGTAAGACGTTAACATCAGGGGAAGCTAAGTAGAAGGTATATATAGGTGTTCTCTGCACTATCTTTGCAACTTTTCTGTAACCCCAAAATTATTCCAAAATAACTTTATTATTTAAAAAAACAAAATCAAAGACAAAATCCAAAGTGCCAAGATGGGAAAAAAAGTCTGCAGAAATATAACAAAAGAATAGAGTTCAGATAAAATGGTAAGAGAAGTTTAACACCTCTAATATGTAAAAAGGGGACAATTTACAGAAGCCAAAAATCTTTCTGGAAAGCAATTTAGATCTGTATAACGAACATTAAAAAATATTTATACTCTTTGTTCCAATAATTCCACATTTAGTAATTGGCCTAAAGCAGAAGATGCAGTCATATATACATAAAAATGATATTAATTGAAGATTTATTACTAAAAAGAAAAAACTGGGCCAAGCCTGTCTGTCCAACAATGACAACAATTAAGTAAATTATATGATATACAAATGAGGTACAAATAATGTAATAATGCAGTCATGTAAAAACTATGTTCTTGAAGATTTTATAATGCTCTAATCTCATATTAAAATTTTTAAAAGCAGGATCCAAAATTAAATAATCAGCATGATCCTCATATAGAAAGAAAAAATCCATCAAAATGCCAACAGTGATTATTATTTCTGGAGATTGGGCTTATGGGTTCAGTTTTTTCCTCTTTCCTGTAACTTGTATTGTTTTCTATAGTATATGTGTTTACACATATATTAGAAATGAACAAAAAAAAAGACCCAGAAACACAAAAACACCCTACATTAATTTTCATGGTCCTGATTTCTCTCCCATCAGATATGCTGACAAGAACAGCATGCAGTGGGGCAGGGGTGGCCTTGGGTAGCACACCAGCACCTGGGCCTCGCAGGGCTGGCCCTGGAGTGTTTTACTAAGGATCTGGATGAGGAAATTCAGAACATGCTAATTGTGCAAGTGATACTTAGGGTGGACTGCTAATTATTCAAGATTAACTTCCCATGTTGGGGGAGAAAAGACCCTATGCAAAGAATAAAATTCAATAGGTACCAATAAAAGTGACAGCCCTAAGGACAAACATGAATAACATGCACAGGGGATGGAGAAGCTTGTTTGAATTGAGAGAAAGAAAAAAGAACCTTGACTACAACTAAAAGGGGAGGGAAGAAATGCCCTTTAAAAAAGGAGGAGTGGGGGAGGCAGTATACGGAACAAGTTACGACAGAATGACGTACAAATTCCTTTTTAATGAGAAACTCAGTAGAATACTGTGTCCACTAGGCTCCCACACAACTAAAATGGATTAAACACACCGGTGTATGTGTCATACCCCCGTCTAGAAACTCCACTCTAAGGCACTGTTAGGTCGACTGTAAAAGTTAATGTATTTCCCCCATCCCTCCCTTTTTTTGGCCAGGTGAGTTAGATTCAGACGTGCATCTAAATAATTCTAACAGGGTTCACTGATTTCATCCTATACAATCATTTACCCACCTTAGGACTGGATCAAATAATTTCCTACTGTAATAAAACTTAATTTTGTCAAATATCATGCTATTGAAATGAAAAAAAATCCAGCCTTTCTTATCAGATTTGGTGTTATAAATTCCAGACAACATGAGCTTGGGTTTTGAGCTTCTAGAATGTCACTTCACTTTGTAACAGGCAGAGGGTAGCATGTGAGAGGATAAATGCATAATATTTTTATCACTGATTTTGAAAGTGCTGGCTAAGTTAAATCTTTGCCTTTCATCCTTCTCTCCTTGATCACTATTCTTCTACATCCTAGCAACATAACAGATTTGGCTTTCACTAATACAATTTTCACATCACAGACATGGAAAGACAACAAAATGTAAGTCTCATAATGCAAGGAAAAAAAACCTATTTCTATTCTTTTTTAATTAAAAAAACTTTTTACATTTTCATTCTTATTGCTTGAATGTGCTGAATCACGGAGAAGAACAGAGACATACCACTCAGCAAAAATCTGGGAAAACTCAAGTGAACTGTTGGCCACCGGGGAGATGAAGTAGAAAGGGATGTTGGAGAGGCCGGCTGAGTCAATGTACTGATACAGACATTCCAAGAGGTCATAGATCACGCCGGAAGGGTAACAGGGCACCAACACGTTTCCTCCATTCCGGACTGTCAGTGCTAGAAAAGTTGAAGCCAGAGAGAAAATGGTGGCATTAAAAGAATAGTTTTATAAAGGTACAACAAAACTTTAAAAATAATATTTGGATTTCTTTAGTTTTCCTACTTCTGTTCATACAATTCATTTCCCATGGATAACGATCTGTTTCTTTTGAAGAACAGCACAGAGGTGGGAGAATCCAGAGGCTAACTTAACCATCAGCTGGGTTTTTACTGGATGTCTCAGTCCCTGGGAACAGGGTGTGCAGTGAAGGGTTTGGGTTTTAAAGGTTACCAATGGCAGCCGAGCTTCAGGACAGACCCTCCAAGCTCCTTTTCTTTTTAGCTCCTGCTCAAAACTTTGCTGGATTTGTCTCTGCTCAGTCTCTGACCACTGCTGAATGACCTATAAGGAAATAGGCCAAGTTTTTCCATTTGACTCATTTTAGGCATTTTCTTTCATTAATGTGTTATCTGTGAGAAAATCCTCCATACTTTAAATACTTAAAACAAGTTATCAAATGAGGAATTGCAACTTAGGGGTATAATCATATTATAAGTTATAACTGGCTAAAAAAGAAAAAAAAAACAAAGCTCTTTTAAGTTTGTTTTTTGTTTGGTTTCCAAAACAAACTGAAACACACAGCTTTTGGGTATAGATCTTGAAGCCTCTGATGTCTTGGATCCTCTTTGTTCCCAGGTCTGACACACAGGCTCTCCGAGATGCAGTACCCCAAGCACTGGTTGACTTGCCATTACGAGACTATGGTACCGTGGTGGGAGACAGTGGTCAGGGCTCCAGAGGCCTGGCCCTACTCCTGCCTTTGTCACAAGCTATAGGATCTTGCATAAGCCACTGATACCTGGCTGGGTCTGTTTCCTGATTGGTTATGAGAGGAGTGAACTAGATCAGTGGTCTTCAAGCTTTAGTGTACATGAATATTGCCAGGGAACATGTTAAAAATGCAGGTTTTCTGCTGGGTCTCTCCTCTCCCCAGAGAATCTGACTTACTAGGTCTGTGGCAGGGACTCCAAATTGCATCTTTAATAGGTGGCCTCAATGATCTTGAGGCAAGTGGTTAGTGGACTTTGAGAACCAGGAAATTAGATGTAAGGCTCCTTTAAGATCTAAAGTTCTTTGAGTCTATGATTCTAGATTATAAACAAACGAACATACAAATTAAAGATGCTATTTGAGACAAGTCCAATAATTTTTTCAAGGAAGAATAAATTGTGTTCGGCTTAATATCAGCAAAGAACAAAAAAGTTTGGCATGGGCAGGTGAAATTTCAAAGCATACTGCCTTTCATGTAAATATAAGATGACTATTTCTTTCCCCCAGAGCAGAGGCGACAGCACTTACAGTTGCTAGGTGTGGAAGGTCTGAGCTCATTAATCCCTCTTTGGTAACCGTCATGGACTGAAGGTCTGTGTCCCCCTAAAATTCATATATTGAAGCCCTAACTCCCAATGTGATGGTACTGGGGGTGCGTGCTTTGGGCAGTAACTGGGTTTAGAGGAGGCCATGAGGGTACAGCCTCCATGACGTGATTAGTGCCCTTACAAGAACAGGACGAGACACGAGAGTTGCTTCTCTCTGCCAAGTGAGGACACCCTTGTGGGTATCTACAAGCCAGGAGGAGGGCCCTCACCAGAACCTGACCATGCTGGCAACCTGATCTCAGACTTCCCAGCCTCCAGAACTAAGAGAAATAAATGTTGTTCAAGCCACCCACTCTATGGTATTTTGTTACAGCAGCCCAAGCTAAGACAGTAAGCAACCTATACTTTTCCATAAAGAAGGGCAGGATTTCTAGATTTTACTGACAATTATATCCAAAGAAACATATATTTCTTCTAGGTAGCAAACACCCAAGTCTCCCCCCCAAATTTAGTCTTCTCTCAAAGAAAAAATAACACCAACCAAATACTGGTGGAAAAAAATGATGTGTTCAGCGTTTTGCTGTTGTGAATGCAAAGCATTAACGGTCTTTTCAATCTGCTATTATCTGCAAAGCAAAGATGTGATTTTTCCCTTTTTTGACAACCACTACCTTGTATGCACGCCCGTCCTGCCCCCAAATCCCACCACAAAGCAAGAAGAATAAATAAGAATTTTCAACATAAGTGAAGTGGGAGAATGTTGAGTATCTGTTGCATAAAAGTGCTAAACACCTGAATTGACTCTTACGACAACCATTCTAACATTCTTCAGATTTCTGTTGCTTAAGAATTGCTTTTGCTGACAACAGCAAGCTCTGAAGGACAGGCGAGAAGGGTGGAGTAGACAGGGGAAAAGCTTTGAAACGCTGGAGGATGTGAATGTGAAGGGAAGGAGCACAAACTACCGCAGAAGCAAGGTATCCAAAAGCAAACCTAGCACACCTCATCACATCCACAGTACGAGCTGGTCACATACCCAGATTGCTGCAGAACTCTCCCACCATGCCGTCTGGGTTCGCGGTGGGGATCTGGGTCAGGCCTGTCAGAATGAGAACGTCACTGTTTTTGAGAGAAGCTTGGTCCATAGGCTGAAAAACCAGAGAGAACTCTGCTTAGTAATTCAAAAAGAAATGGTAAGTATAAGTAGTAAAGGAAAAAAAGAATACCGTCACTGTTCTGTGATCAAATCATTGTCGTGTCCTCTTACTTCCTCTAATGAAGTCTGTCTGGGAACAGCAGCGGGGACGACCACACACCAGAGGAGGCAAGAGGGAACTTTACAGAATGATAAAAGAGTCCCATGCCTCGACTGGTGTGGGGATCACATAATGTGAAAATTCATAGAACTGTATGTTTAAGATCTTTGGGTTTCACTATACATAAATTTTACCTCAATTAAAAAAAAAAAAGAATGGGGCGCCTGGGTGGCTCAGTCAGTTAAGTGTCTGCCTTCGGCTCAGGTCATGATTCCAGAGTCCCAGGATCGAGCCCCGCACGGGGCTCCCTGCTCAGCGGGGAGTCTGCTTCTCCCTCTGCCCCTCACCCTGCTCTTGTGCTCTCTCTCACTCTCTCTCAAATAAATAAAATCTTTAAAAAAGGAAAAAAAAAACAGCTTCCTATCTCAAATTTCTAGAACACATTGCTCTTTTCAAAATGCTATCTCACACATATCATTGGTGGGTCTCCAACCTGAGTGTGTATTAGAATCACCCGGCGGGTCTGCCGAAACATGGATTCCTGGGTGCCACACCCAGAGTTTCCGATTCAGGTTTAAGGTGGGCCTAAGAATTTGCATTTCTAACAAGCTCCCAAGAGATGCTCCTGGTGCTGGTCTAGGGATCATGCTTTGAGAACCACTGCACTGTATAATCTGATTCTCAACACAACTCTGCAAAATGAAAACAAGCGTTTAAAAACTTGAAATAAATACATGAAATAAGTTTACATTATGAAAATGCAAACTGGGACTCAGAGAGCCAGGCGATTTTTCCCAAGTATCCATGGCAGAGGAGCCAGGAAGAACGCTGAATTAGAACCAGAAATATAAAGCCTCCCTCCCAGTCCCTTATTAGTCATGGGACCTCAGCTAAGGCTCTGAGCTGGGTTTCTTACAACACAGGCATATTTGTTGACCCATCTTCCTTCACTGATTTCTGAGAGTCTCATGAACTAATATACACAATCTTCTTGTAAACTATGAAGTCCCACCGTGGTGCACTATTATGTGATCCTTAGGATGTCATATTTTTATTTTTACCTGGCACAACTTGAATTTAATTTTGATTATTTTCAGAGCACTTAAAAAAAACCAAAACACTAACTACCCTTTCCAAAGAAATCAGGATTCAAACTGAAAACAAAAATGAAGGTCCATGGATTGAGATGCTGGAGCTATTTTGTAACACATCTTTTCCTCATTGTCATTTCACATACTCACCGGAATGTAAGAAGAAAAAAGCCAGAAACCCAGTTTAGTAAGAGGCCTCATCCCTCCTTTCTCTGTTCCACCTGGATTTTCCAATAAAGAAAATTCCAAACAGTAGCACAGCAAAGGCCCACCACCCACAATGTTATCTGAATATATGTGCCTTTTCATGTATATTCCTTTAGCATTTTATATAAACATGGATATAAGGGCTTCGTTATTTTTAAATAACATGATTGCAGTTATATACGCTGTTTTATAACCCGAGCAACATTTCTTTAACATGAAGGCAGAAAAGCATGGTCGTGACAGCTATACTGAATAGATTCTAATTCCTACTTGCACAGATGTATTATACTAATGCATACAAGAGCTTTTCCTCTGCCTGGGCAGAACTGATCTATCTATATGCACTCCTCTAAAAAATACATATGCATTCATTGTTTCCAGAGAAGGAAGAAGTACAGGACAGTGGTTTATACTAACAGATGTGCAACGAGCCTGGAAATGTTCACTGTGTGCATGTGCCAAACAGAAGAACTGAATGGTGACAAAAGGGATCAAACTTTGTTAGCATATTTAGCTTAAAATGACAACAATTTTGTAAGAACCTTATTAGAACAAGCCAACAATGAGTCACAGGGCTGATGGGGGAATTCAGAGGGTCTAGGAACCCCCTAAATAGTATATACAATTCTGTGTGTGCCTATGTACACTTTCCCATAGATTTGATTGGGTTGTCATATGGGGCCATGACCCCCCAAAGGTTAAGAACTACTGACTGAAATGAAAACATGTAACGGAGAGCAAATGTGGTCCTGAAAACATTATCTCTGAACCTCAGCCATCAATGTTGCCTTCCTTTGAAAAATTAATGCCCATAGTAAAAAACAAAAGCAGTACTACAACATGAATACCGTGGAGTTGGAAGTTACAAGAAATACTTCATGATCAGGTCAGACTAGATGTTTGTTATTTTAGCCCTAAACCTGGAGGCACTTGTTGATTTGCAAGGCTACTGTAAAGAATCAGCTTTCAAAGCCTTTTAGTGACACTCTCAGAACCAAGCTGGTACTGCCAACATCTCCATTCCCACCACAAAAGGGCAAATGTGTATATTATTGGTGTCAATGGCAACTCACTGAGTGCTTTGAGTGGGAACATTTTGTACAAACACACACAACAGAAAATTCCATTGTGTCCAAGAATCAAATAAAAATACCTTACACAAAGTTGACAGTCACAATCAAGCTTGTGAAATAAAATTTTGAAAAGCCCTAGGCCCAAGGAAGCTGTGGTCATTGTGTTGGCTCCTCTGCTGGTGAATTTACATTGGACACTTTGCACAGAGTATGAGAAAAAGGAGACTCAGTCTCTAGGTCCTAGAAAGTAGCCTATAATCTAGTTGAAGAGAAAACATGTATGTATTATCGAAAAAAGGGATTTTGGGGACACCTGGGTGGCAGAGTTGGTTGAGCGTCCAACTCTTGGCTTTGGCTCAGGTCTAAGCTCAGGGTCGTGGGATCGAACCCTATGTCAAGCTCCACGCTCAGCATGGAGTCTGCTTATGTTTCTCTCTCCTCCCTCTGCCCCCCCACCCTGGGTCTCTCTCTCAAATGAATAAATGTTAAAAACAAAAGAGGATTATTCAAAAAGCCATAGAAAATATAATGTGAATTTCAAGAGTTTGTACTGGGTCTATAAGGGCCAAGAGGAATGCAGAGTAGAGGGCCCCACCAGACCAGGTGGGGCCACTTATACACGGCTTTCTGGCAGGTGAAGTTTTGCGTCTAGTTTTCTTTCTTTGGCTAAGGAACTTTAAAATATCCTTTGGAACAGCTGCATGACACCCCTTCTTTCCCACAGCAAGATGTCCCTTCCACATATGCCCCGTGGCCTCTAAGACTTTCTATACCAGCACTATTCACACTGCTTTGTAACTGCCTATTTACTTGTGTCCCCCACAGGACTATGGAGCTCCCTGAGGGCAAGGATTTGTATCCCTAATTCCTAGCAAAATGCCTGGCACACAGCAAATAGTAAACAAACATTTGCTGAATAAATGAATGCACAAAAAGAATGTGGTCCGGTAGGAAATGTGAGAGCATTCCATACTGGGAAACAGTTCTCCAGAAGTCAGCAAGGTGAGAAACAGCAGGTCGGCTTTGGCAGGAAGGCTGGAGAGGGGGTGGGCAAAAGGCAGAGAAAGGCAACCTGCAGATGCCAAATGAATTTATTTGGCTGGAATGGAAAGTTTACTTTGGGGCTGAGAAGAGAGATTAGTAAAAATGAGGGAAAGTGTAACGAGGAAAGAACCAGAAAGGTCAGAATCATGAAGACTGACAGAGTGGATAGTAAGGAATCAACAGCATGAAGCAGGTGACAGTTGAGGGGGTGAGACCAAAAAGAGGGACAACACTCAGAAGCCCCCTGTAGCAGCCCAGACATAAACGGGGAAAAACCGTCATTTCATGGCACTTGAGGAGATGGAAGAGGAAGATCTACACAATATCACGGAAAACTGTTAATAGACAGGTGGGAAAGGGCCAGATGTACTGGACAATGGACGAAGTGAGACCTTAAGACGGCTCCAAATCCTCAAGTCAGAAATGTAGACAAAGGGAAATTTGGGCGCAATGATTTAAAAGAATAAGGAGGCAATAATAAGTCCAGTGTGGGATGGCTGCAGGTGTTTAGGGGATAACAAATGGATTTATTATGAGAATAAAAGATAAAACAAAGATGCGTGACAGATATGGGGATTTGCTAGGTACCTTTATTCAAGTATTTAACAAAAATGTCAGTTTGTTTAGAGTTGAGGAAAGTGGAATGTGCCTAGGGCCAATGCTGTGGGACTCCATAAGGTAAATGGGGAGAGAAGCAAGTAAACAAGTACATAATGCAGTGCAGAGCTTCCCTGCCCGTAAAAATGAGCAGTTTGGGAAAGACAGCTTTCTGGTGCTTGCACCCTATAATATAACAAAAGATCAAGTAGAGTAAGAAAACAGCAAGACTGCCCCCAGGAGCCGAGACTAAACAGAATTCTAACAAGAGAATGATGAATGATGTCAAATGCAGCTGTGAGATGCTGGGGAAAACAGAAAAGAGTAAATTTGGCTGGAGGCTGATTGCTGTTGGGCTAGAGACATGAACCAGTTCTCTAGAGGTAAAAGAGGGAAAAAGCCAGGTGCACAAAACTAAGCTGAGCAAAGCAAACAGGAGAAATCTCATCATGGTTACGAGACAGAGAATCCAGTAGTGAGGCAATGAGACAGTCCACTGAAAGCCTTTTTCTGTATTAAAATTCTTCAGGTTTACTTAGAGGCAGAAAAGAAGGAATGAGTGAATGACCCAATGACCTACACTTCTTTGATGAGAGAAAGGAAGACATAAATTTGAGATCATGAAGCACATCGTCTCTAGCTTTCTAAGACCAATTCAAAGCCCGCGCTCCCATGAGATCTCCCCAATCCACCCAGGAAGGGGGGGAAATCCCTCAGCACTTTAGGGGATTTCTAATCTGACAGGATTAACCACCTGCACCCTGAAGAAGAGTCCTGTAGGTCCGCATCTTATTCCCCTATTGTAACTTCTGTAAATGTAAAACCTACCCCTCCTCGTTCCCCTTCCAGCCTAGCATATTCCACTGCCCAAAGCAGGGGT